AGACACCCCCCACCCCCACGGGGCCCTGACCCTGCCGCCCAAACCAGACACACCCCCCCGACCCAAACCAGACACCCCCCACCCCCACGGGGCCCTGACCCTGCCGCCCAAACCAGACACACCCCCCCGACCCAAACCAGACACCCCCCTCCCACCACGGGGCCCTGACACAGCCCTCCACCCCCCACCCCCACAGGGCCCTGACACAGCCCTCCGCCCCCCTCCCACCACGGGGCCCTGACACAGCCCTCCAGACCCCAGCAGCAGCATCCTAGTTCCTGGCTCTGCTCAGCCCATTGCGATTCCAAGGGCCCTGCCTGCAGCCCCCCTGGGTGCAGACCCGGGGCGGCTCCCTCCCAGCAACCAGGCATTGTTACAGGCTTCGAGCATCCCAACAGCTCCTGGGGCAGCCACTCGGATCTCCGCACCGCAGGGGAGAAACTGAGGCAGAGAAGGGCGGTAACATGCCCAAGGTTGCCCCAAGAGTCAGATCTGATTCTCAGCCTCCCCCATCCCCAAACACACACACACGACCCCACTCCCATCCCAGAGCCGGGGAGAGAACCCAGGAGTCCTGGCTCCCAGCTCCCTTGCTCTAACTCACACGACCCCACTCCCATCCCAGAGCCGGGGAAAGAACCCAGGAGTCCTGGCTCCCAGCTCCCTTGCTCTAACTCACACGACCCCACTCCCATCCCAGAGCCGGGGAAAGAACCCAGGAGTCCTGGCTCCCAGCCCACTGCTCTACCCACTAAACTATGCTGTCTCTCCTCCCCCCACACGTGGGGTAGGGGGGCACAGTGGCGGAGACCTGCCCTTGCTGTCTGAGCAGATGATAAAGGCCAGGACCAGGCAAGGAGCAGGGTTGACGGCCATGACCCAGGCCCAGGGAGCCAGCGAGGCCCTGCCCCATCCCCAGCCTGCCATCTGGCTAAGGAGCTGCTCCCCTCCCCCATCCCACACATGACCAAGGCCCAGGTGGGCAACAGATGAGCCGTGAGTCACTTCTGGGAGGGCCAGGCAGCGGGATCCGCTGCAGAGAGCCTGGGCCGCCCGCGGAGCCAAGCGCCGATGGGCTGGTGCCTGGGCACCGCCCCGCGATAGCCTCCCCTTCCGGCAAAGCCAGTACCCACCGGGTGCCCTGTGACCCCCGCGCCGGCTCAGCAGGGGCAGAGCCTGGGGGGAGCTCAGACCATCTGGGAGTGGACACAGGCCAGGAGATCTGCCCGGGATGGGGGCACATGGGGTCAGGGCTGGGTACCACAGCGAGCCAGCTCCACCTCAGGGAGAGGGGCCCAGAGGGGATGGCAGACATGGGCTAGGGATGTCATCACTAGAGGGCAGGGCCACGGGCAAGGAGCAAGGCCTCAACCTCCTATTAGCAAAGAGGGCAGGGGGCCCAGCAGGGGCCCTGCGCCACCAGCCCCCCGTCCTGGCTGCGAGGCTCTTGGGGAAGGGGGCACCATGCCAGGGGCTAGGCACATGGCAGCTGGTTATCGGCTGGGCCAGGCAGCAGGAGCAGGGCCCAGTGCTCAAGGAGCACGCAAGCCAAGGGGCCAAACCAGCGGCCGTTCCTGGCCGCGTTTAACCTGGGCCCCACACCAGGTTTCCTGACACTGCCGGGCCATGCCAGGGGAGCAGGAGCCAAGCTGGCCCAGGCCACTCACCGTTCGGAGCCGCTGCTGGTGCGGACGGGCTGGGTCAGGCTCAGCTGCAGCGGCCCCTGGGGAGTAAAGACAGAGGCACCGTTAGAGTCCCAGATCCCCAGCCAGGCGCGCAAACCCCACCTACCCCGCCCCACCCCAAGCCACTTCCACATGAAAGAAGGAGGTGAGTGAGCCACAAAGCCAGTCCATCCCTACCCCCACCCCCGGCCAGGCCTGGGGCCCCACCCCGGCCGGGCTCAGGGGCTGTGGCCAGGTGAGCTGGCCCCGTATCCTCAGCCAACCCCGCCAGGCTCTGTCCCGTGCAGCATTGCACAAGTCACGGCACCAAGTCCCATTGTCACTGGGGCCACCGACTTCCCGCCTGCGTCAAGGGGAGCCACCGGCAGAGTCCCCAGCCCAGCAGCCGGACAGCGCTTGGCTTTACCGACGCCCCAGCCCTCCCTGCTCTGGGCCTGTGACACCCCAGACTGCTGCAGGCAGCACCAAGGGGCATCAGCTCAGGTGCGGGGCACCCCCCAGACTAGAAAGTCCCACTGTTCCAAAGTGGAGAGGGAGAGCAGGGCAGGGAAAGCAGGGGGCCGCAAGTCAGGACTGAGGGGCACCAGAAGAGCTGGAGGAATGTAGGGGGAAGGCCAGGGCTCAGATACCAATGGCCTGTGGGCCAGGAGTGGGGGGCACTGGCAGAGCTGGGGCGGAAGCCCAGGGCTGGGCTAGCAGGGGGCTGTGGACCAGGAGTGGGGGGCACTGGCAGAGCTGGGGGGGAACCCAGGGCTGGGCTAGCAGGGGGCTGTGAATGAGGGGCACCAGTCCAGTCAGAGCTAAGGTGGGGAGCCCAGGGCTGGGGCACCAGGGGGCTGCAGGTTGGGAGGGAGGGGCACTGGCAGATGTAGACAGAGTAAGAACAAGCCCCCCCCAAGGAAGCCCCCTGCCCTGTCTGCAAGGGAGGAGTTGATGGGCCATTCACAGTTTGGGGGGGGGGGGGCACGCTAGCGACTGGATGCAAAGGAAGGGAGGCTGCAGCTAAAAACAGAGCCGGGGAGAGGCGAGGGGGAGGGGAGCTCCAGCAGGTACTGAGAAGCGGCCCTGGGGGCCGGGTGCTCGGCTGACCTGTGGCATTAGCAGCACCTGTTACCAATATCACCGGAGCCCCTGCACTGACGGCCTGGCTCGGTTCAGTCCCCGCAGCACGTGGGGGGGGGGTCTGGCTGGGGCCCCCTTGCGCCCAGCCACAGAGCAGGGGAGGATTTTCCCCACTCCCCGAACAGCTTCCCGGAAGATCCTCGGCCGAGCCGCGGGGCCTTGGCTGCCTCCCAGCTGCGGGGGAGCCGCGGGCTCTTTCCCAGCGATATAAATAACAGGCAGGAGCCAGGCCCCAGCGTGCAGGGCTGGGGCGGCGGCTCCCACGATGGGGGGCGAGGGGGGGGGGCAGCACAGCTGGGGCTGGTCCGTGGGGTGTTTGGCGAGGCTGCTGCCCAGACCTAGACCCCAAGGGCAGGCAGGAGTCACTCCTTCGGCTCTGCCACCTGCCTCCCCAGCAGGGCAAACGCTCATCAGCCCCAGAGAAAGGGCCCCTACAAACCCACAGCCCCCCCTTAAAGAGACAGCTCCCTCTAAACCACCCCACGGGCTCCCCACAAGCCACATCTGGGCAGCTGCCCCTGGGCTCTGCCCCCGGGGCGACGAGGGGTACCATGGCCCATACTGATGGCAAGTCCTGGGGAGCCGAATGGTGACAGGTGCCCAGGTGTGTATAACAGAAGGGCACCAGTTTCCTTTGCTCCCTCTCCAGCTGCACCGCACGGCGCCTGGGACCGCAGCTCCCCAGCCCCATGTGCCAGGCAACAGCCCCACACGTATCAGCCCTGTGCCTTGGCCAGGAACGCGGCCTGTGCAGACAGGTGCTCGCGGGGGCCCCAGCAGGGCAGCCACGCCCCAGGCAGCACGTGACCCGTCGTGGTTTGATAACGTCTTCACCACAGACCGCACGAGGGGGGGCAGGGCCCAGCGCTGCTCAGCCCAGACCGCGGAGGCAGAGCAGTCACCAGCGCTCTCGGCCCCTGAGCCGGCTCCCCTTTGCACAGGCCTTGGGGAAGGGGAAGCACGAAGTCTCCTTATCAAACAGCAGGGAGTCCCCAGTGTTATCAGCCTCCTCCACACAGGGCACAAAGCAGCAGTTTCCCCAGGCTGGGAGGAAGCAGCCACAGGCACCGCTAGACCCTGCACTGCAGTATGACCTGTCTCCGCGCACCCCTGGGTCGGCCCCGCCACGCCCGCACTGGTACTGAGCCTCACTCTGCCGTGCTCTGCTGGCAACGAGGAACAGCCGCCCCGTAGCCTGGGCACCCTCCGGAGCTGGCAGCTCCACGAAAAGCCCTGGGGCAGCCCAAGGGCACCGTAAAGCCACGGGGATCCTGCAAAGCCGTTTGGTCGCTGCTGGCATTTCACAGGCCTGGCCGGTCTCTCTGCTGCACAACCATGGGCCTCTGCCCTGGGATTCGGCACCCCAGCCCTGCTGCTCCCTGCCCCGGAGCGGGGTGGGCAGCTCTGCAGGGAGCTCCTCTCTCCCCCAGGCTCTGCCTTGTCTGTCAGAGCCAAGGCCTCAGCTCATCCACTCTGGGCCCCGGCGTCTGATGGATCCCGAGCCTCCCGCGGCAGCGCCCTGGCGAGGGCCCTGCTGGCAGCCTCCCCGCTGACACGCGGGGACTCTCGGCCCGTGCTTCCCCAGCCAGGACCCCGCTGAGAGAGACAGGTCAGCACCAGGGCTCAGACCCCAGGACAGGCTGGGGAATGGGGGGGACCCTGGTTCAGTACCCGGGACCCCCAGCACCCTCGAGCCGCTGGGCACACCACGTCTGGGCCAAGAGGGACAGAGCTACCCAGTCCCTGCCCCCACCCACCAGCTCCAGGCACCCATCGCTCCAGATGGGGGATGCCCCTGATCACTGCCCAGACGCAGGGCCCTCCCCACGCCTCAGCCCCCTGCAGCCGTGACACCGAACCCAGGGGCACTGCCTGGAGGCTGCAGTGTAGGAAGCTGCCCGTGCCAGGCCTGCCTAGTCTGGGCCAGCTCCAGCTACGTCTTCGACTCACATGGCCAGCAACTGACACACCGCTCCCTCCTGGGCCTGCTCACACGCCCCACGCCCCCGGCCCGCTCACACGCCCCGCG